TGAAGGAGAAATACGACAAGGGGATCGCAAGTATGAAGAAAAAGGTCAAGATCGCTGAAAATGAAATGGCTAAGCAGGGAAGAGATTTTGAAGTTGAAAGGGAGAACTGTTATTCCTTGATAGCACGGTTAGAGAGGGATTTTCAACAATTTCGAAAACAAAGCCATGCAGCTAAACAAACTTTGGAAGCTAGTATGCGGCAAATTGGAGATTTATTACGGAAGAAGGGTAGGATCCATGAATGGGTCACATCAATAACATAGTAAATTGTGTTAAAATACCAAATATGTGAAGATATGACCCAGACCACTTTCTTCGCGGCAGTCATGACGTTTGTCCAACGGGTAATGAGAGATTTGGAAAGGCTCCAGGTGGATCTTGCAGACGAGCCCGCAACAAAACCAAACAACACCCCGAGAGCTCGAGGAGTTTTCAAGGCTTTAATGTATTTGTGATCATTATTTGAGTCGGTACTTTTTCTTTGAGTCTGTTATGTTGTTTTGAAGTCTGTTAGGTCTTTTGAATTGATCTTTTCTAAGCTTGTTAGTTTATTTCGAGTCTGTGAATCTTGAGTCTTTGTAGTCAAAGTGTTTGTTTTATGAAAAATTGAAAATTCCAAAAATATTTTTTTTATTTCTTTTAATATCCCCAAGAACTATGCTCGGTCTGATTCATGCGGTGTCATGATATGTAGGCAATCTCCATAGGATTCGACCATAACCAAATAAAGAAAAGGAAGAAAAGGGGAGGAACATGAGAGAAATGGTGGTAAAATAAAGAAACAAGAGATGTAGGCAAAACAAATTGAGGGGAAAGAAGAAAAAGAAAAGAAAAAACAAGAGTGAAGAGAAAGATGACACAAGATAGGAGTCGGGATGATGCAAGCAATCACATCTGTGCATCATAGAAACGGATAACTGCTTAAGTGCATTCATCCCCAAACATATGGCCACCTATGTGTTGAAACCTAACCACTAACCAGTGTGGTGTTGTCTTTCCTATATTCAGACAAGTGGTTAGTTCTTGCAGCATTCTGGCTAACCACTCCTACAACACTCGGTCTAATAGCAAGCAGATCATGGCCAATCAAGAAACTGATGCCAGCATCATTGACCCCTCAAAAGAGGTAGAGGAATTGGTTGTTAATGCAATGAAGGAGGAAATGTACAAACTGAAACACCAAATGGCTGAGATGTATCAGGCATGGGTGAGAGGGCAGCCACCACCAACCTATCCTGCTAATCCGACCTTCATCACACCACTGGACCAATCACACGACCATTCCACCATTGATCCACCCCCAAGTTTCCCCGTCTACCCGCAATACCAGGGTACGACCTCTCAAGCATCCCCAGCTCTATTACCCTAAGTTGTTCCTCACCCCCCCACCTCTACCAATTTCTCCCATTTATGTGGCACCTCCTCCCCCGACATTCCACTGATCATCAAGTGAGCCTTTGCTTCAAGATCACGACAATCAGTACTACCCACTAGAACCCGCTTATAAAGCCCATGAACCTTACTCCTATGCTCCCCATTTTGAAATCCCGGTAGAGGTTGAAAAGCCAATCAAAAATATTAAGCAATAGGAGGGGCTCAGGAAGGTCAGAAGTTTAGAACAATCGTTTTGAGATATGTGAGGGTTAGGCGGCCAGGTGAGTGTGGCATTCAAAGACCTTTATTTATTCCCAGATGTGTAGTTGCCCCAGGTATTAAGATGCCTAAGTTCGACTTATATTATGGACATGGTGATCCAGTCGCCCATCTAAGGGGTTTCTGTAGCAAAATGAAAGGATCATGAGCAAAGGATTAACTGCTAACGGAATAATTTAGTCAAAGCTTAAGGTGGTCAGCATTGGAATGGTACACCCAGTAGGATCATGCTCGATGGTATAATTGGGATGACCTAGCACAAGCATTCGCCTGCCACTTTCAATATAATCTTGAAATTGTCCTAGATTGTCCGTCTTTGACAAACTGGAAAAGAAACACAATGAGAGCTTCAGAGAATATGGTTTCCGTTGGAGGGAACAGGCAACGAGAGTTGACCCCCCAATGAAGGAGAGTGAGATGGTAGATTATTTCTTGCAAGCTTTGGAGCCTACATATTTTGGTCATCTGGTATCGGCAGTGGGTAAATCCTTCAATGGTAGTTAAAATGGGAAGTATGGTCGAGGAAGGACTCAAATCCAACAAGATCATGAGTTACTCTACAATCAAAGCAACCACTCGGTCTATCCAAAGTGGTACTGGGGGAACATTTGCAAAGACGAAGAACGAAGAAGTAGCGACAGTTGAGTCAGGGACTTGGTTCAGGCCCCGGACTCCATCCCATTAGAGCCAACCTCGTCCTCACCACCAAAATTATCCACACTCTATATGACCCACCACAACATTACTATCCACCGTTAGAACCATGTTTCTCAGTCCAACATGAACAAGCATATACCCAACGTCCCACCCACGCACAATGGCATGTGCCTGCTCCACAAAATCATTACCCAGCTCCACCAAATAATTACTCCCCAAGAGCCTAGGGAAGGTAGGGAACCGGTCATAGTTGTGGAAGGTGCTCGCATAGTGCTTGTCATCATAAAACCAGTAATCTAGCCGCTAATCGTCAACAGTAGAGTCATTCCTTTGAGGTATGCACAAGCAATAGTAATGTACAAAGGGAAAGAAGTTAGAGAAGAAGTTTGTGAATCCCGGGGTTTGACCCGGTCAAGAAGATACTTCACCCCTGAAGAATTAAGGAAAAGCAGGATCCCCAAAGATAACCTAGAATCGATAAATAAAGCTGTATCAGAAGAAGAGGCAGAAGAGTTCCTGAAGAAAATGAAAGTGCAGGATTACCCCATTATAGAGCAATTGAGGAAAACGCCGGCTCAGATCTCCTTGCTCTCCTTGTTAATCCATTTAGATGAACACCGCCTGGCATTGATGAAAATTTTGTATGAGGCCCATGTTCCTAACAAGATAACAGTGAATCACTTGGAGAAGATTTCAAACAAGATATTTGAGGTGAATCGGGTCACTTTCTCTGACGATGAGCTGCCCATGGAGGGCACCGAGCATAATAGGGCACTTTATTTGACTGTGAAGTGTGAAGATGTTGTGGTCACCCGGGTTCTAGTTGATAATAGGTCCAGCGCGAATATTTTCCCGCTTTCCACATTGAACAAGCTAAATGTAGACGATGAAAGGATCCACAAGAATAATATTTGCGTTCGAGGGTTTGATGGCGGAGGCAAAGACTCCGTAGGGGATATAATGCTGGAGCTAACAATAGGTCCCGTTGAGTTCACTATGGAGTTTCAAGTGCTGGATGTGGTAGTTTCTTATAACCATTTACTAGGCAGACCCTGGATTCACGCAGCCAAGCCAGTGCCTTCTATCTTGCACCAGATGGTGAAATTTGAATGGGATCGACAAGAAATAGTGGTGCATGGTGAAGACCATCTGAATTGTCACATTGATTCTATCGTGCACTTCATTGAAGCAAATGATGATAAAGGGCCCTGGGTGTATCAAGTTCATGATTTGGTTACAGTGGAGAACGTTCCCGAAGGGGAGCATGTTTCAACACCAAGGTTAGCTACTCCAGCGGTTATGGTGGCGGTTGAAATGCTAAAGAATGGGTTTGTTCCTGGAAAAGGTTTGGGGGCCTCACTTCAAGGTATCGTACAACCGGTGTCTCTTCCTACGAACTTAGAGACTTTTGGTTTGGTGTTCAAGCCTACAAGTGCAGATATCAAGAGAGCCAGAAAGATGAGAAAGAAAGAATGGGCCCTCCCTAAGCCTGTACCCTCGCCTATGCAAATTATTTGTGAAATCTGACGCCAAAAAGTGTTTGACAACAACGAGTGCCAATACCGCGGTTGACTCTGACAAAGAGTTACTTGAGAGGTTTGAAAAGTTGTTTGAAAACGTAAACATGGTGGAGGTTGGGAAAGGATCAAGCAAGGCAGACGTGCAGTTTGTGGGACCCCATGCAAGAGTCAACAATTGGGAAGCTACTCTTCTTCCCACTCGGAAGGAGTCTTGGTAGTTGGCTTTGATTTTTCTTTTATTTTTTAATCTGGATTATCTCAACGGTTGTAATTTAGATGTTATGTTCCGTCCGTTTGGATGTGTAAACCATGTTATCTTTCAAATTTCAACTAAATGCAATTTCCCTTTTTCTTAGTGCTAATAGCTTTTATTTTTCATTGCTTTACTTTTCTCTTTTGTACAGTTATTTTTATGCTGGCTCAAATGATCTGACATGCATAGGGACTATTTGGCCTAGTCTTAAAAATCAGTCTAATTCAGAAGTAATAATTCAAGAAATAGAACATGAGGATGAGTCGGAGTATGATGAGGAAAAGGCATTGGATGAAATTAGTAAAGAGTTCAGCCATTTTGAGGAGAAACCCAAGCCAAACCTGAGCGATACAGAGGCGGTCAATTTAGGGGACCCAGATAACATTAGAGAAAGCAACACAAGTGTCCATCTAGAGCCACAACTTAAGGGAGAAATAATTGAAGTGTTGCTTGAATACAAAGATGTTTTTGCATGGTCTTACGATGATATGTCCGGGTTGAGCGCTGACTTGGTGGTTCACAAATTGCCCACCGACCCAGCCTGCCCTCCTATCAAACAAAAGTTGAGGAAGTTTAAAACTGATGTGAGCGTGAAAATCAAAGAGGAAGTGACCAAGAAGTTTGAGGCAAAATTTATCCGAGTCACATGATATCCCACCTGGTTAGCCAATGTTGTGCCCATGCCAAAAAAGGATGGTAAAACTAGGGTGTGTGTCGATTATCGTGACCTCAACAAAGCAAGTCCAAAAGACAACTTTCCACTGCCAAACATCCACATACTGATTGACAATTATACAAAACATGATATTATGTCGTTCGTGGATTGTTACGCATGTTACTACCAAATCTTGATAGATAAAGAGGATGCGGAGAAAATAGCATTCATCACACCATAGGGGACAGATTGCTACAGGGTCATGCCCTTTGGTCTGAAGAACGCTGGGGCAACATATACGAGGGCAATGACAATTATCTTTCACGATATGATACATAAGGAGATTGAGGTCTTTGTGGATGATGTAATTGTGAAATCCAGAAAGCAATCCGACCATGTCAGAGATCTGAGGAAATTCTTCCAGAGGCTCCGCAGGTATAATCTCAAACTCAACTCAGCGAAGTGCATATTTTGGGTCACCTCAGGGAAGTTGCTAGGGTTCATAGTCAGCCGCCGAGGTATTGAACTAGATCCATCAAAGATCAAAGTCATACAGGAATAGCCACCTCCGAGGAACAAAACAGAGGTGATGAGTCTGTTCGGGAGACTAAACTACATCAGTCGATTCACTGCTCAGCTCATAACAACCTGCGGGCCCATCTTTAAGTTGTTGAAAAAGGATGTTGCAGTTGCATGGACGGGAGAGTGCCAGGAGGCTTTTGATAAAATAAAGAAATATTTGTGGAACCCACCGGTGTTGGTCCCGCCGGAACCAGGAAGGCCCTTGATCTTATATTTGATAGTCTTGGATAACTCATTCGGATACGTGTTGGGTCAGCACGATGTCACTGGGAGAAAAGAGCAGGCCATATACTACCTAAGCAAGAAATTTACAGCCTATAAGGTTAAGTACACTCATCTTGAAAGGACGTGTTGTGCCATGACCTAGGTAGCCTAGAAGATAAAACATTACTTGTCATCATATACCACTTACCTCATCTCACGTATGGACCCGTTGAAGTGCATTTTCCAGAAGCCCATGCCCACGGGGAGGCTTGCAAAATGGAAAATCTTGCTCACTGAGTTCGACATCATTTATGTGACTAGGACTGCAATGAAAGCATAGGCATTGGCTGACCATTTGACCGAGAATCCTATAGACGAAGAATATGAATCTTTAACGACGTACTTCCCGGACAAGGAAGTAATGCATATTGATTAAACGGGACAGCGCAAGAAGCCAGGATGGAAATTATTCTTCGATGGGGCTGCTAACATGAAAAGCGTCGGGATAGGAGCAATGCTCATTTCTGAAGAGGGGCATCATTACGCAGTCACAGCTCAGCTCCGCTTCTATTGCACCAACAATATGGCAGAATATGAGGCATGTATTTTAGGCTTGAGGTTAGCAACAGACATGGGTGTTCAGGAAGTCTTGGTCTTGGGGAACTCGGACCTTCTGATACACCAAATTCAAAGGGAATGGGAAATAAGAGATTTAATACTCATAATATACTGGCAATGCCTGCATGACCTTTGTCAATGATTCCGATCAATAGGGTTCAGGCATATACGAGAATTCACAATGAGGTTGCTCATGCCATTGCTACTTCGGCATCAATGTTACATCATCCGGATAAGGCTTATGTTGATCCAATACATATCCAGGTTCATGATCAACACGCTTACTGTAATATGCTAGAAGAAGAGCTTGATGGTGAACCTTGGTTCCATGAAATCAAAGAAAATATCAGGATGGACGTGTACCCGGTACAAGCCACAAGTGACCAAAAGAGAACAATCTATCGCTTGTCAAACTGGTTCTTCTTCAGCAAAGGGATATTATCGAAAAGAATGCTAGATCTTAGGTTATTAAGGTTCGTGGATGTAAGACAGGCCACAACCATCATGACTGAAGTACATTTTGGGGTTTACAGACCGCATATGAGTGGATATGTTTTTGCAAAGAAGATTCTTCGAGCACAATATTATTGGTTCACCATGGAGAGGGATTGTATCAGCTTCATGCGAAAATGTCATCAATGTCAGGTGCATGGAGACTTGATTCACTCCCCACCATCTAAACTACATACAATGTCGGCACCATGGCCTTTCGTTGCTTGGGGAATGGATGTCATCAGGCCCATCGAGCCAGCAGCAGCTAACGGACACAGGTTCATCCTGGTTGCTATTGATTATTTCACCAAGTGGGTTGAAGCTAAAACCTTCAAGGCAGTAACCAAGAAAGCCGTCGTCGACTTTGTACATGAAAATATCATTTGTCGGTTTGGAAACCTGAAGACCCTCATCACTGATAATGGAGCAAATCTCAATAGCAATCTGATGAAAAAGGTATGTCAGCAGTTCAAAATTATACATCGCAATTCCACCCTTTACCGCCCCAACGCGAATGGAGCAGTCGAGGCAGCCAATAAGAACATAAAAAAGATACTTCGCAAAATGGTGAAAGGGTCCAGACAGTGGCATGAGAAGTTACCTTTTGCATTGCTAGGCTATCGCACTACTGTCCGCACTTCAGTACGGGCAACTCCGTATCTGTTAGTATATGGCACAGAGGCAGTAATCCCAACTGAAGTTGAAATCCCATCCCTTCGAATTGTTGCTAAAGTAGGAATTGATGATGAATAGTTGGTCAAAGCCCGTCTGGAGCAATTGAGTCTAATTGATGAGAAAAGATTGGCAATAGTATATCACAGCCAGTTGTATCAATGGAGAATGGCCAGAGCATATAACAAGAAAGTGTGTCCAAGAAAGTTTGAAGTGGGTCAGTTAGTATTGAAACGCATCCTCCCTCACCGGGAAGAGGCAAAGGGCAAGTTCGCCCCAAATTGGCCGGGGCCGTTCGTCGTGTCAAGAGTGTTGTCCAACGGGGCATTGTACATAACAGATATGGAAGGAAAATTTATGGAAATGGCCATCAATTCAGATGCAGTTAAAAGATACTATGTATGACTTTCTTTTATTTGAATCATTGTCTATACTTGGCATGATTTTTTGTATTTGGCATGTTCTAAAGATTGGAATGATGAAGGTATTTTATTCGGCTATCTAAACAATTTATCCTTTGCTAACCCCTTTGAGCTTTAATTACTTTCTTTTCACACCCCACTTTCGGAATCAGTAACAAAAGTCAGAAAAGCAAGTGTGTGAAGTGAGTGAAAGGAAAAGAAAGGAAAGAATGAAAGGAAAGGAAAAGAAAAGAAAAGAAATAACAGGAAGAAGAAAAAAAGAAAAAAGAAAAGGAAAAGCAAAACAAAGAAAGGAAAAGAAGAAAAAGAAAAGAAAAGAAAAAGAAAAGAGAAAGGAAAAAGAGAAAAGATAAAGAAAAATAGAAAAACAATAATAGAGCGATAAAAACAAGGAATCGGCAGGAACTACGTTTGACCTGATTCCTTTTAAAAAGGATACGTAGGCAGCCTCACGGCTCGGTCATAGTCGAATAAAATCCAAAGCCCCCAAGCAAGAAACTGGGGCAGAAATTGTGTTTGTTATAATAAATTAGATTCCAAAAGTTTTAAATTCTAAACCCATAGGAATGATTTTGAGCCTTTTATACCCCTTTCTTTCTCACCTTATCCAAAAGCCTACATTACAGTCCAAAGAAAGACCTTCTGATCAGTCTTTAAGAAATGCCGAGGAAAGCAAGAAGAGGTAATCCATACCCCGGGACAACACTCTAGTTCAAATAGGAAAATAATAAAATGAGAGAGTCTTATTTGTGAAAACCCTCACGGGCACCGTAAAGCGATGAGAGCTGAGAGAAATAAAAATGAGAGAGTCTTATCGGTGAAAACCCTCACGGGATCCATAAGGCGAAGGCAAGGCAAGAAATGAACAATTGGATAAGAGAGCCATTGGTGGAAATCTATTCAGAACACCATAAGTCAAGCAAAGTTAGGGTTTGGTTAAAGGAATTGGGTTAAAAATGGTCACAATAACAAAAGCATGGCAACCGAAGGCCGATCATCTGGATGGACCGGGTCTACTAAGCCGAAGTGCATGTCATGATCATGAAAACCAGCTATTCCTTCACAGATAAGTTTCTTTTCTTATTATCTCCATAGTCACCAAATTTGGAATGCTTTTATTCTAAAAAAGTTCAGAGTCATTGCATTTCATTTTCTTTCGCGTCTCCAAAGTCATTGTGTTTAAGCAAGCAGAAGAGAAATTTCAAAGATTACTACCAAGTCCCCAAAAGGACAAAGCACATGTCGGTCAAAAGCGTAACAAAGGCAGCAAAGGTTGAAACAGCAAAAGGAAGGATCCACGAAAGCCTCGATGGTAAAATTGACTCGAGAGGCAAGATTCTTGCAAAAGGGCCAGAAGCGCAACACAAAGATAGGGAGGCAAAGTAAAGCCATAAGTGCTCAAGAGGTCAGGCGAGCGTAGTACATTGACTTGGTAATCTCAGGAAAGATGTAAGAATTCTAGAAAAAGGGTCAGGAGTGTAACACAATAACAGGGGAGCAAAGTAAGGCCATAAGGGTTCGGGGGTCAGCCAAGCAACTCAGGCAACTCATCATCAGCATGGAAAATTAAACACAATGGAACCCGACATTGGGGAGGCCGCTTTCAATAAGAATGTTGCAAGCTAACCACCACTTTTCAAACTGACAAGTTTTCTTTGATTGACACAGGGGCAGAAAAATTCCGGAAGATCCTAAGGAAGGCCATCCACAGGGGAAGGCAGGCACATGGCAGGCATGATCAAAAATCTCAGAACCCACTTGGAAAATGGGACCCAGTTAAACCTCAAAAGGAACATACCGACATAAATATTCTCCCCAGCAAGAGTCGTCAGGACTCGCCTGGATAAGGGGATGAAACTTTAACTAGAAATCCCCAGCAGAGACAACTGAGAGTTAAAAGGGGCATGCAAGTTGAAATTCTCAAGACCCTCCTGGAAATGGGACTCAGCTTAAAACTCAAGCAGGCACGGGTAACATGGGCAAGCACAAACACCTTCCCCAGTAAGAGTCTTCAGGACCCTACTGAACAATGATCCAAGCAGAAACAACCGGAAGTTAGAACTGGCATTTAATCTGGAACCCTTAGGACCCTCATGGAAAATGGGACTTATTTAAAGGTTAGAGGTAATCATGGATAGCAAAGGGCATAAAATGACTTGCATGTTGAAGTAGGATTCAGTTAAGAGTTTTCAGGACCCTCCTGAAAAATGGGACTTAGCCTAAAACACAAACAAGCACGGGTAACATGGGCAGGCAAAAATATTTCCCCCAACGATAGTCGTTAGGACCCGCTTGAATAATGGGATGTAGCTTTAAATATTAATCCCCAGCAGAAACATCTGGCCATCTAATTAAGAGTTATCAGGACCTTTCCAGATAATGGGAAGTAGCTTCAATCACCGGTCCCTAGTAGATCCCCAGCAGATATAACTCGGATAACAAGACATAGTGGAAAATAATATCTTTTGAGAATACAACCGAATTTTAAAGTTGTCATGGGATTTGATTAACACTCACAGATGCATCCAACACCAAACTGGGGCAGAAAGAATTTCTCTTGTTTTGTTTGTTTTGTTGTGGTCAGGTACACAGGCAGCAATCTCAGGGAATACATTTCGAGTTCCAAGTTTGGTAATCAGGCGCCCACCTACAGAACAAGGGAATATATTTCAAATTTCATGTTTTGGTAATCCGGAGCCCACCTGGAGAACAAGGGAATATTTTTCAAGTTGTAAGTTTTGGTAATCAGGCGCCCACCTGGAGAACAAGGGAATATTTTTCAAGTTGTAAGTTTTGGTAATCAGGCGCCCACCTGGAGAACAAGGGAATATTTTCAAGTTTCAAGTTTTGGTAATCAGGCTCCCACCTGGAGAACAGGGAAATATTTTTCAAATTTCAAGTTTTAGGCAATCAAATATTTTTCAAATTTCAAGTTTTAGGCAATCAAGCGCCCACCTGGAGAATAAGGAAATACTTTTCAAATTTCAAGTTTTGGTAATCAGGCGCCCACCTGGAAAACAAGGAAATACTTTTCAAATTTCAAGTTTGGTAATCAGGCGCCCACCTGCAAATCAAGGGAATACATTTTAAATTTCAAGTCTTGGTAATCAGGCGCCCACCTGGAGAACAGGGAAATATTTTTCAAATTTCAAGTTTTGGTAATTAGGCACCTACTTGCAGAACAAGGGAATACATTTCAAGTCCAACAATTCGGCATCAAACATAGAAGAAGAGAAAAAAAGAAGATTTATAGGATGAAATACGAGTCAACAAGGCAACAACAGGGACATGTACAAGCAACAAGGCAACAAGTACAAGAGAAAGTCTGAAGACATAGATAGGTTCTTTTGTAACCTATAGTTCATAGCTTAGTCTGGCTTCTTTTTATTTTCACAAGGTGTAATAAGGGGTCTAGCAAGTAGTAGCAGCAGCAGCAGTAACAGTGAGATCACAGCTTCGGTAGTCCCAGCTACCAAACACTCCTGAGCTACACTGACCTGATTCCTCTTTAGCCGAGGATATGTAGGCAACCTCTGAAGCAGGGTGCAGTCAAGCTTTTCAAAATATTTCTCATGGATTGTTAAGTAGGCAAAAATCTCTCATGGTTGCTCACTTATCTTTGCCCGAAAACCCTTCGTGTCTCCGAGCAAAGAGGGGTAGCTGTGAGCATGTGATTTTTGTCTAGCTTGAATTACTCCTATAAAATTCTCAAAATTAAATTTTTTTTTATTTGTGTGATTTATAGAATTTAATTGCATAATTATGTGTTTGTTTACATTTTGAGTGCATTTTAGTTCATTAAAAAAATATACAAAAATCACAAAAAATTGATTTGATTTTGCTTGGTTTGAATTTTAGCTTTGAATTTTATTAGTTTTCTTTAATTTAATATATTATTAATAGGGTTGATTCTTAATTATATCTTAATATAATTAGGGGGTTAATTTAATTTTTAGGTTTTCTTTAATTTGAAAAGAAAATAAAAACTAAAAGAATTAATTGAAAAAAAAAAGAAAAAAATTAAAAGGAAGTGGGTCTTCAATAAAACTGCCCAAATTTGGGCTGGCCCAAGTCAAGCCCAGCTAATACCCCTGAACCAGCCCAATCCACACCCTAGAACCCGGTCAAGCCCTACCCTCACCCAAAACGACGTCGTTCCCTCCGTTTGATCTCAACTGTCGAGGTTGGAAGATCTAACGGATAGAAACTAGGGATCATTTAATATATAAATGTCCAAACGAACCCCCGCCCCCTCAGAACCCCCTACCCTCTCCGTCTCTCATATGTTCATAAGAGACCCCCTAACCCCGTCAGCCACCACTACCTGCCGCCCGCCGGAAATCACCTACGGCGGCGGTCGGCGTCCAATAACCCCCAAATTCACACAACCGCTTCTCCTTCACCTCCCCATCCCAGATCCCCACTCTGTTTCTCCCAAATACCTCCGAAATGCCTCAAATATTGGAAACCCTAGCCGCCGCCTTTGAACCCCCCGTCGTGGCCGGCGGCGCCACCACCCAATCGCTCTCAAAATAACACTCTGTATCCATCCATATTCCCTAATCCCAAATCTACATTCCGTTACCTTCGAATCCTAGCCAAGCTCGTCGAATCATAGATGAAAGGTTCGAGCAAACCATAAATCTCCAAAGCTCCCAAATCACCATGTTTTCTAAAGCGATTGGAGTTGAAATTTGTATTGCTCACATATTCTCCACAGAACATGTGATAGATACCAATATCATCTCAGATCGATAGACGCCAGCGAAATGCTCAGGTGATGATGTTATCAACTCATTCGCTGCTCCTAGTAAATGGCACTTGCTTCCTATACTTGCATTTCCATATTGCATTTTCCCCATAATTTGTCATTCCCTTTTAAACCTTTTTTTACTTGACTCTTCGTTCTATTTTCACTTTTTGCCATTCGTTCATTCGTTTCGTTGTTATTTATCTTATTAATTGGTAAGGTCTAATTAGTCA